TTGGAAAGAAACAAAACCAAGCATTAGTTGTGCGTTCGTCTTCGTTGGTTCCTTGTGCGGGGGTGTCTCTTTGGACCATAAGTTCCAAGGTAGTCACGAGTCTTCGAGCGACGGTGGTGGCACATCCTGTGCGGGAGAAACTGCGTTCCTCATACACAGGTAATAACCTAGCCCTGAGAAGGTTGCGGAATGGGTCTGCAAAAAAGTAAGGTCGGTAATGACAGTACAGCTCTTAGACTTCCGTCCCATCAACACTCAGAGAGCATTTTGGCTTTCTCGAATAGAAGGAAAGTTTGTTGTGAGTTGTCCAAATGCTGACGAATAGCTGAGAGTCGTACCTGTGGGCGATAGTTCTTTACGTGAGGCTCGTTTTTAGTGAGTTTCATTACTCCATTAAATGCGTGTTTGTATGTTGTTGCAGTAGTGGACGTTCCCCAGTTGACGTCTATAATTAATCTACAATAAAATTCAGACATTCAAGAGAAAAGGTTCAAGTGAAGGTTGGGAATTTTGATAATGAAATAAAGTCACCTGGTTTCAAATGCTTTATAAAAGCATAGACAGCAACGAAGAATGCGAAAGTGAGTAGTGTTGTTGGCCACGACATAATGAACATGATCGAAATGCACAGCACTGCTCCTAAGCAGTGATAACCATGGTGAGTGAAAGCCAAACGCTGGGCGGAAACCTGAACATACATAAATGCATTCTGAACTTTTAATCACAAAATTACTGCTTAACCTTGCAGTTTGAGCTCCGAGAATTATCACAAGGATGCTGAGTTATGGGAAAAAGTGTTTGACCCAGGCTGACTCGAACGCCTCATGCTCAGAGCACTATCCGTTCCGCTAAGCCCACGTCTTGCCCTCTCAGTTTGGATTTGGTTTTTAAAGCCACAACCATGAAAGAACCTCGAAAGGTATGACATAAAACTCATTAAGTTGGAGGAACAGTACGGCCCTGGTTGCCTAATGGGTAGTGCACTCGACAGGTTAGTGCGAGGTGCGCGTTTTGGTCCAATAGAGATCAAGACTTCTGCCATATCTCAGCGTTCTGGCTTATGTTGTTCAACTTGAGAGTGTAGGCCTCTTGCACTAAACTGCTATAGGAACCTAGAAGCGCAAATGAATCAGTGGTGGGTTCTAGAGCATACCAATTTCTCACTAAAAGCAAGTGATCAAGAACGAGATCATCGACCTTTTTTGAAATTTTGGAATGCGCCATGTACTCGGCTTCCATTTGAAACCGTAGCTAGAACTCTGACGAAGTCGTTTTCGCGCCGCGTTGGCCACATAACTGACGGCGTGAATTGCCCAATTCATCTTCAAAATCCAGTTTTCTGCAAAATGAGATATCGGCGCCTTCCACCGCTAAACACTGAGCCGATACTACTCCGAAGTGCCACGCTTCTCATCAAACTCTTATATAAATTGTTGATCTTTTTTTCACAGTCAAAAAAAAGGGCACTGATTCGCAACACAATTAGTCACTGCAATGTCCCAAGCGATAGAGTGCGACCGATTGAAGCCTTGCATAGCTCGAGTCACGCAATTCAAGCGATAAGCGACTGAATTGAAGGTGTCGCGGAATATGAACACACCTTTGACTCGTTCCTATCTTCTTTCGGATCGAAATGACTCTTCTCGACAAAAAAGGTAAAAAAAAAGTGAGAGCAAATTGAGGGAAGAGGAAGTTCACTATGCACCTGGACTTTGGGAGAGAATTGCTTCGAAGCAGGCGTAGTTGACCAGAGCATAGGCGCAAAGGAAGAAGTTTGAAATAAATGGGGCTATGATATTTAAGGTTACCTGAAAACACGCGTTCATTCCCTTAGAGATCCATCATGTTTCTAAAGGCTCTTACCAATCATCAAAACGGCTATAGTAATGACAAAACAGAGCGCATATGCCCTTCGAGGATCGTGTCCAGCTCCATATCCTTTGCCGAAGAACGTAATAGCCGGAATCAATCTGTCTTCGCCAAAACTGCTGTAGCAAAAGATGGTTGGTAGCCCTATATAAATGAATCAGGACATAGTTCTAACTTCAAGGCAGTCTAGGTATCCACCTGAAAAATTCTCGAGGCGCTGACTAGGCTTCCCATCGCGGAGCCAAGCGCAGCGGACACAATACCAATGGTGATCACCCAGGGCCAAACACTTTGTTGTCATGACTATCTGAAAGCGATTCGTCGCGTAGTAGGTCTAGAGCAGGAAATGCAGATTTCAAGGTAAAATCTGTACAATAAGAGGCTTGAGCCACATCCAAAACCCAGAGAAAGGAAACGGAAGAAAGGACAGGCCCACCTACAAGTGATCCTGCCCCATAAGCTACTTCGCCGTAGCCACGGACTTGTATGGGCTCACGACTCGTCAAGCGAGGTTCTAACAATGGCAGAAAGGATTTGTTCTACTTCACCCTTAGTACTGACAGACTTCAGCAAGAAATACGCTCTGGTTGGAAGTACCTGATAGAAGTTGTGAAGTCCAAATGGACACGTAGAATTCGAGTAGCAGTCTGGGACATTGCCTGGCTTAACGTTGATGATACCGTCAGCATCTCGAACATATGTAAGGCCTGCTACCAGACCGAAGGTAGTGTAGATCATCGTGGATACAGCAATCGCAGATAACGTTCCACGCGGGATCGCAACCTGAGAGCAATCGTGATTTTTTTATCTGAAGTAAGTGAGTATTCCCATTCTCGTTTATGCAGATAAGAGACATACCTGAGGATTCTTAAGATTTCCACTGATATTCGCTCCCGCCATGATCCCTGTAGCCGCAGGAAAGTATACAGCGAAGACGGTGAAAAAAGTGTGGCCATCACGGAAATCTGGCCACCAGTTAGGCGACTAATGTTTCCCCTGGAATGTTTCCATCACCTGCTCGACACGTTTCCTTTCTAATGAACAGTTTTGAATACCTGTAAGTGACGCGAAGGAAGTACTATTATCGAACTGAAACCTCTCCCCCTCCCAGCCTCCTTTCAATTGGGAGGTTCGCGCTATTGGTAAGCCAAATTGCGCATATTGTCCCACCCCACAACCATCTACATTTGCAGCGTAAAAGAACTTTATAACCGGTAGTGCATTGAACTTGAATATGCTCGCGTGGATTATTCTACTCTGGATGTGCCCTCATGCGTGAGGCGCTTGGCTGAGAATCTGCTCATTCGGGGTCGTCTAAATCTAACAAGATGCGGCAGCTTAGCTGCAGTAGGTACTGTTTCCCGTTGATTGCGACCTAGATAGTGAGAGTACTATGCGAATTACACGCACGAGACTTTAGTAAAAGATTGATTAGATAATCACTAACACTGATAACCAGTATACCCATGAAGAACCTTGTCTTTGGTAGAAATGAATGATCCGATGACGAAATTGAGTATAGCCAAGACGAGAGGCACAAGCAGTACTTGCTGCAGTTTACTTTCGAGCATGGGCGATAGGACTATAACAGTCATCAGGACTGTGCATGTCACTGAAACAAGTAATTCTTGAGCTGGAGTTAAAAATTGTGCCAGCAATAATCAGTTGGAGCAGCTAGGCGACGAATTACTTGCATGCATCTTGTAATTAAGATAGTGCTCAGTGTCTTAACAGGCTCAGCCTTCAGAAGTTTTCGCCTTTTCATACCTTTACGGCAGCGTCGACACTAAACGGCCAATAGCTCCAATCAGCGTGTCCAGCGTCCTCGCATGTCAGAGTGCGAAGGTATAGATTCGATCTTATGAGTCTGGCTGGGTTGTGCCAGCGTCCTACAGCGACGAGCAGCGATTTGCTGCCCTCTTATCTCCCCATACTCTCCACTCCCGGAAGCTGCTGGTCGCTGGTAGACGCTGGGAAACGGCTTAGATCTCTATACTTCGCCAGCCCTCGAGACGCTGCTGGTCATGCGGCCCTTGGGACCGCATCTTCATGTACTGACTGCGTGGGTGACCTCCTATCACTCTGACCGTTATTGAGCTCTTGATATGTCCGTTCAGATAACAGAGGTAATGACAAGGACATTCAATTCGTGTTAACTATTCACCTACGGATATAACGCGAATATCCCATATGTCTCCGTCAATGATTTGAACTCCCTCCTCATTCAGGAGGTGATTCACAGTTTCGGCGAATCCCACTATATGTAAAGCTCCACCAACGCAGTTTGCTAAGGAGAAAATTATTCCGATCGATCCACCGTATTCGGCGCCCAGGGTTCTCGAAATCTGAATCAAAGAACATTACTGGCTAACATTCAGTTTCTTTCCTTTAGTCCTCGCCAAATATGCGTTACTTCCAAATAACGTAGAGTCTCCACCTCTTCTTTCTCCTTAGTGCAGATGTACCTCATGAAATTCGCAGTCAGTGTACGGCTGACGAAGGAGTCCAGAAGTATCGTCACAACACCCATAACTGAAAAGCGCTGCACAAAGTGCGAGCACAGTTAGAGGTCGGGTTCAAAGTGCGGTAGGGGCAAATAGAGGCGTACGCTGGTGGTATGGAAGTAGGCATCCGCATACTCGATGACATTCAGGAACTCAATTCATTTGTGATAGGGAGATCAATGGACGAAGGAACCCTACCACCGAAGACGTGCTGCCATTGCAATGTGGCTGGGTCTGTGTAGATGCCACTTCGTTCGAAAGTGCACGGGAGGCTAGACGGTTGCGATTCCCGGGTGTCTTCCAACTCTGGTCGCTCTATCCCGAGGTTGCAGCACTTGCGTCGATGCCAGAATCTCGCAGCCAACACGCAGGCAGCGATAAAAAGCAACTAGAAGTGACAGGGTGCAGACGAGTAGCGCGTTTGGCTATGGTAAAGCGTGCGATAGGCCGTGCGTAGCGCGAGCGGAGCCGGAGACGCCACACGGTACCCCTGGCCTCTAGCCCGTCCACCTGCATTTTGGAGCTGGGAAAGCGGCTCGCTACCACAGCTGCGAACCCGTTCCTCTCGCACATGGCAAGAACCAGAATTAATGATGAGTGTGTCTTCAAAGTGGGATGAGGTAAAAAGATAAAGGAGAGGATCATAAAGAACTCACCAATTCCTGCCTGGGCCACCACCCATGTCACACGTACATATAGTATCACTCCAATTATAGTCTGAAGGCATCGTACAAACACTCCTTCAATCCAACCAAATTTTATTTTCGGCTCCTTGTATGTGGCACGACGATAGTGAGATGACTAAAAATGATTTTTCTATAGATGAGTTATGAAGTGAATGCTACTATGTAGTAAACTGTTATGTACTTTAGTTCGCTGATTGGAATATTTGGTGAGGCTGTTCTGGTTTCTCCAGAAAAATGAGACCTTGGCCGTAATTTTTGTGCACTGAACCCTACCGGCCACATAGTTGCAGCGCGAAATGTGTCCTTAATAAGGAATGTGAACCACTTCATGGCATTACTGCTGACCACAGTACCAAATCTGAAGATGGTGCTCAGGATCGACCGGATTTCACCTGGGGAAAATGCCCAAAAAGACCAATCGAACATGTCAGTCACAATAAAACCATCTCCAAACTGGTTCACGGGAAATTTTGGACGAGATATTACTGAACATGGGCGATAATCGCTTGATTGTAGTTGTTATTATACTGGTACAATCACTGTGATCACTGTCTCCATGTTATGCAGATCTAGGTTACAAAAGTGTAATCCACATAGTACGCAGGCTCAAAACGCCTACAACCCAACATTGTGGGATACGATAAATCACGGAGTTGGAGATGGAATCGGCAAAACGATAGAAAAGAAAGGCTCCCTTCTGATGCATGTTGCTCACAGTCACGTCAAGATTGTTACCAAATGGGATAAGGGGTAGATGAGAGGGAAGATTTGGTTATGGACTTGGCTCACTTGCAAAGCTGATTCAGCGGGAATTACCTCTATTTCCCCATACCCATTCTTTATCCTTTTGTTACCTTGGCCTGAATAGCATTGCTCTTGATTGTTCTTAGAGGTAAAAATGACCCCACCCATCAGAGCACGTCGATCCCTAGCGAGAGAGGTCGTCCAACAATCAGGATTGCCTTTATAAGAAATAACTCCGATCACTGACTTTTTTCGGCTTTCCCTTCTCAACTGCCGTGTATCCTTCCCACTCGACGACAGATCTTTTGGAGAAAATGGAGTATTAAAAAAATCTCCGGAGGTGGGGTAGGAAATCGGGACAATCTAGGTAAGATGCAGGTAGGACTGGAAATAGGGAAAGGGGGTTGCACCAAAAGAGGGACTTTTGAAGGGAGAAAAGGATTTTCTGGGGGAGGTCCTACTTTACAAAATTCTTCTCCGACAGGCCGGAGCGTGTCTGGCCACCCGTGCGATAGGCGCGGAGCGTACCTCCAAATACTCGATCCAGCAACTGAACTATCGACACCCACGCATTGTATTACAAGCAGCACTAACGCCCACCCGTGAGATTATGGAGTGAAGTCTGTTGGCTGCAAGCTCTTGAATGGTCGGTCTTCTTTTCCGCTCAGACGTTTGGGTGTAGAAGTCCAAATCTGGAGGACACTCGATAGAGGTGATCTTACGATTCTCTCTGGAATTGATAAAGAGTGAATCCTGTCGACTTTCTGAGAGAGAACTATACCGTGGAGGTGGAATAGGATACGGTTCAGGTGCTACGGTAGCCATAGCGGG